TGAAGGTCGTTAGGCCCTTGTTCAAAAGGTGGCCTCACTTGTGGCCACGATGGTCTAGGCGAGGACCGCGAAGTCCTCGCTGGCCACAATACAAAAAAAAGAAAAGAAGGAAAATCAAAAATAAAAAAAAAATTTAAAAATGTCTATGTCAGCGCCGATCGTGCCACATAGGATGGTTGTGCGCCCACGTCAGCAAATTCCTACCAAAATTGGCCAGATAAACTCGATTGGCAAAATATGAAAAGGTTTAGGATTCAATTAGCACAATTAAAAGGTTTATAAAGGAATTGACAAAAGTGCAATAGGTTTATTACTTTTTTTGATAATCATCGCCCTTCAGTCATGCAATCGCGATGAGGAGGTCACCAGGAGAGCCGGCGATTGCGCGACCGTGTCGTGGCCGCCACCTTCGATTGCAAGTTCATATCTCAAATTCAGAGAAAATCAAAGGGACCAAAAAGGTGCAACGGCCAAGCCTCTATCTTCCAAGGTTGTGCGGCCGCCTTCAAGGAGGTCGCTTAGCCATGGCAACTGCGCAAGTGTCTGTTCACTACAAAAAAACATGTTTTTTGCGACGGATTTTGCAACGAAAAAATCGCAAAAATCTGTCGCAAATCATTTTTGCGACGAATTTAGCGACGGAATTTCCGTCGCTACTAGGTCGTCGCAAATTTTTGCGACGGAAAATATAAAATTTCGTCGCAAATTTGAGACGGAAAAATAATTCGTCGCAAATAATTCGTCGCAAAATTCATCGCAAATTAGCCACGAACACTATCCGTCGTAAAGTTCGTCGCAAAATTCGTCGCAAAATCCGTCGCAAAATTCGTCGCAAATTTCGTCGCAAAATTCGTCGCAAAATTCGTGGCAAAATCCGTCGCAAAATCCATCGCAAAATCCGTGGCAAATTTCGTCTCAAAATCCGTCGCAAAATTCGTCGCAAAATCCGTCGCAAAAATCGCCGCAAAATTCGTCGCAAAATTCGTGTCAAATTTCGTCGCAAAATCCGTCGCAAAATTAGCCACGAACTTTATTCGTCGCAAAATTCATCGCAAAATCCATCGCAAAATTAGCCACGAACTTTATTCGTCGCAAAATGTATTGGACGGAAATTATGCACGAACTTTTATTTTTGTAACGAACTTTTATAATTTGTGATCGTACGATAAAATCATTTATTTTATTTTTCGATTTTAAACTTAATTAAAAGCAAAATTAATTTCTGAAATTTATATTTAACATTGATTAAGCACTTAATAACATCAAAATATTATAATAATATGAAAATGAAATACATTCATCTACATTTTCCACAAGAATGACATAAATATTTATCTTTATGGTACACATAATGAGAGAATAAATAATCTTGCATAATAACTAATCTTGCACAATAAACAATGACGACAGAAATGAATCAATGACCAATGATTTAATATCTTTTAGCTCCTGCCACTTTGATTCCGCTTCATTTTCATGCAAATCAGTCTCTGATGAGGATATAATAGCCTCGTACTCTTGCTTCTGCCTCTTGAGATTAGTTGCAAGGTTAGTCTCAAGCTCTGCTTTTCTTGTTTCCATTTGCAAACAAACAAAAGTGATGACCAATATGCACAAAAACAGCACAACTGTACTCTGGCAAGGTTCTCATTGCCAACCTCAATGCGAATATCAACAATACATAGAACCATATCCTACCTTTTCATCAGTTACAGGCTTTGTCAACTGGCGATTGCATTCTTGTTCTGAAGTGACAAGCAAGAGAATGAGCATCTATCCAAAGAAAGCTTCAAAAAAATTAACACATGAAGCACTACCTTCTGCAAGTGAAGTCTGAGTGTTCTTGAGCATCTATCCAACGATAGCTTTGTCCTCTCCATTTTCTTCCTTTCACCCAGAAAAAAAAAAAAGGAAGAACACCCAAGAAAAAACTCATGCCGATTCGAGCCTCGCCTCGCTATTCGCAACAGCATAAAAAAAGTCCAAAATTGCACGTCTATTCACAAATTGGAGAACTGGCTCATTCATCAAACACTTGCAAAGCACCCTATCCTGACCCATTTACCCTATAAACTCACAAACATCCTCTCCATTTCTCGATGAAGACTATACCCAATTCCATTACTTATAGGATGTGGTAAGTCAGTAACTTTATCACTCTCATTTCGTATGGGATGGTCAAGTCCAACAGCCCCACAAAACTGCGCAGACATTATGATGTAAAGAGAGAAATTAAATCATAATCAACAAAGACAACCCTCTTCAAGCTGAACAGATCAAAGCACCAACGTCTTACAGAAAGCTCTTATCCTGAAAGTAAATAGCCAGTAAAAAAGATAAAGCATACCTCTCCCTTCCAAGAAATGCCATACAAGGATCCGTCAGAGAGTCCAAGCAGCATATGCTTGTTATAACTTACAATATTGCTCCTGAGGAAGAGACATAAGCTCGGTAAACATTCATCAAACATGCCCACTAGGTTTCTAGACTGCTTTGTTCATTTAATATTTTTTATTTTAAATGAGCAAAACCAATATACTTACAAGATGTTATGTGATTTTTGTACAACTTAACCGAGTTTAGGAAATAATAAAGACAATGGCGTGCCCACAGTCCACTAAGGCGCAAGTTTAGATTTCCAGCATATATACAAATACATTAGCGTAATACTCACACAGATAAATTCATGTCTCCAAAGGGAACCTGCTCGCTGAGGAGAAGAGAAATAGTCGCAAAATACAAACCAGACGGTTGCTTCCCTCCAATCTGTACTCTTTTCTCAGAAAAGTGAAACTTAAATAAATGAAGATAGAGTGAAGTCGTCTGCAAAAAATATGAAAACACGTCATAAGAAGCAACCAGGTGCCCTCGAGGGGATAATATAAGAAGCAACTGGTAGTTTATTTTACTAGTCAGAGCAAGACCAAGGAAGGAGGAAAGAATGCTCGCATTCACTAACAATAGGCACAATTGATAAGCATCACCTCTCTAGCTTCTATTAGAGATAATTATCTAAAGGGTCATACCGATACCCCCTTGGCCAAAATTAAGTAGCTACAAAGATCAGTCCGAAGAATGACAGCAGTCAATCGACACGCAGAATTTCTAACTGGAACAGCCAAAGAAGAGATCTACAGCAGGGCACCCAGCCCTCATTTTGAGCACCAACCTTTGCGGATGCATTGTAGTCAAGGTAAGTTTTGTACACGAGTACATCCCAAAAAATGAACTTATACCAATCGATAGTTATAGGCCGACCAGATATGAATCAAGAACGGCAATGCAAATGCAAAATCAATTGCAATTGCCCGACTCACAAATCGACCGGATCATTTCATGTTTCATCAAACCTATCCATAAAAACATCTCGAACTCACCACAACGGCAATCGATTTGGCATCAGGGCTCCACACGGCCTGCGAATTCTCCCCCTCCCTCCGCAACGAATCCGCATCCCTCTTGTACTTCCCCAACCTCACCCTATGCTGATCACACGAAACCAAAGACAACATCAAGAACAGTCACTATACGAAACCAGTGACGACCGCGAGAGCGAGCTCGTTTCGTACCTGGGAAGAGCTCCAGAGCTCGAGGTGAGACCGGGGACGAACTCTGTTCGGCTGGGAGATCGTGGGGCCCTCGGTGACGGAGCACCGGATCCCGGCGGGGCGCGCGAGAGGGCTTGTGGGCGCGGAACGGGCGGATGGCGACGGAGGAGGAGGCAACGGCGGCGGCGGCGGCGGCGGTGAGGGTGGCCATCATGGCTGGCGGAGGGGAGGAGGGAGCGACGGAGAGGTGTTTGGCGGAGGGGGGGTGGTTCTGAGGAATAGCAGAGAGAGAGAGAGAGAGAGAAAAACCGGGGTGAGGGCGGGCAGATTTGAGAGATTGGCGGGGGACTAAATTCAGAGTTCCGTTCCAGATTTGTGACGGATTTATTTTTCCGTCGCAAATTTGCGACGGATTTTTTTTTTACGTCGCAAATTTGTAACGAATTTTTTTTTTAATCGCAAATTTGCGACGGATTTTTTTTTCCGTCGCAAATTTGCGACGGATTTTTTTTCCGTCGCAAATTCGAGATTGCGACAGATTTTTTTTTTCCGTAGCAAATTTGCGACGGATTTTTTTTCCGTCGCAAATTTGTGACGGATTTTTTTTTCCGTCGCAAATTTGTGACGAATTTTTTTTCCGTCGCAAATTTGAGATTGCGACGGATTTTTTTTTTCCGTCGCAAATTTTTTTTTCGTCGCAAATTTGTGATGGATTTTTTTTTTCCGTTGCAAATTTGCGACGGATTTTTTTTTCCGTCGCAAATTTGTGACGGATTTTTTTTTCCATCGCAAATTTGCGATTGCGACGGATTTTTTTTTTCCGACGCTTCCGTCGCAAATTTGAGATTGCGACGGATTTTTTTTTTCCGTCGCAAATTAGCGACGGATTTATTTTCTGTCGCTAATTTGCGACGAATTTTTATTTCGTGGCAAATTCCGTCGTAAATTAGCGACGAAAAATTTCCCGCGCAAATTTCCGTGACAAAATCCATGTTTTTTTGTAGTGGTTGGCCCGCCTCCATCAATTGCAAAGTCCAAATCCTAGGTCAGGAGAAATATCGAACGACCTAGTTTGGTACATATTCGAAAGGCATATTTCTCCAACAAGCCACGCCCGAATTTATTCTTAAAAAATAACATAGGGATTCTCAAGGAAGCCAAGCAGTCGTTGTCATGATAGAATTGATACCGCTTTTTCCCCCACAATAGAAGTCCATCGGCTTCGATCGATGTGACGTGGAACTTCGTTGTCTCCCTCTTACTTCGCTTTGTGCTTTAACTTTAGTTTTGATTCGGTATTAATATCATTGCTATTGCAAAATTCATGTGGGAGCATGCATTCCACGTCTCGACTTTTTACGTATTCTAGGTTTGAATTTCACTCTCCCGAGTTAAAAAAGCAAAGGAAAGAAAGCAAGTTCTAGCTCGACTTTACACGTAGACCCGCAAATATGCTTTTGAAGTCGAATTATATTGCCATCCACAGTCAAAAGGATAGGTCAAGACTTAGCTTTGGCCTAAACAAAGACCCAAAAACAAAAGCCAAAAATAAAACTTAAAAAGGAAAAAAGAAGAAGAAAAGGAACAGAGAGATGGACCATCCTCCATGGAATGTTGCATATTCTCGATCGCTCTTCTCAACCTGATGATGACAAAATCATCATGCATTAACATGATTCAAATCACAAATTTATTAGAGACGTAAATTTGATTAAGCAAATGATTAGAGAGAGAGAGCTAGCACGCACCCATCGCTTTTTGGCAGAGTGAGAGGAGGACGACCAAGACGGCGAGGGCTGCGACTGCTCCCACAATGATGGCGACGGTTTTGCCGGCTTGGTCCTCGCTGTTGGAAGAACCTGAACATGTGCATTTTTTTAACAAAATGTTAAAGCTGATTAACTAGAGAAATTGATAAAAAGAGAAATAGAACGTGCACGATGGTGTACGTGATTTCGCTAATGTGATCAATGTGTGTCCACGAGAGAGGCAGACTTAGAATGTGTGGATAGGACTTACAGCGATGTGCGGCATCAAGTGTCACGGCCACAAAGTAAATGCAGCATTTAAAAGAACTGTCATGGTCTACGGAATTATGTGAATGAGAGTGATTTACGTCCACGAGAGAGACTCAGAAATCATCACTATGTGTAAACATGTATCTTTGGATCATATTAAAGATGATTAACTCTACGTAAGGTAAATTAATCATCATACGGTATAGATTCATTCAAGAAATTCTTAGTTTCGTTTGTCAATACTTCACTTTATGGTTTAACATCAACGATATAAGACTCGAGTATAAATTAGGAGTGAGGATTATATTAGGGATGATACTAAATGTTCGTTAGACAGCATAATGTGATTTAAGGTCACTGCAGAAATTTCTATCTTCTCCTTCTCAAAGCTTATGATTACCATCTCCATTAGGTTGCATATTCTACAATATAACTCAAATAAAGCCTCACTTTCCAGCCACTGCTTTAAACAATCTCGTTTATATATGTCAATAATTGACCATAATCCCCAATTAAAAAAAGGGGATGAAGATTTGACCTGCTGATTCTCTGGGATAATGGAAACTTATCTTTTTCATAATGCATGAGAGACAAAGCAAGTATAACAACCAGTGGACGTGAAAAGAGTCTATTACATTAAAGAGAACAACAGAAAGGGCAAGAACAAAATAATGATGAAAGAGAATGGAGACCATATGAAAAATGGAGTTCCACTCCTTAAAAGTTCCTACTAATGCCCTTTAATGCTTTTACTTTACAAAAGCAGCACTCACGAACTCTTGGCTGAGAAAATTTTCGAAATTACACTAACTGTTCCACACTCTAGAGTGAACTAAAGCAGTCGAACATTGTGTTTTTGAATTGAACAGAACAACGAGAACCAGCTTTAGAGGTAATTTGCATAAAGACACATAAAGAGAAGTATTCTATTCGTTTTGTGAATAAATGAATTGGAAGTTAAAAGGGTATAAACTCAACTCACCTGAAGAAAAATCATAGTAGCCAGAAGCCCAGTAGCGAGCATAACACTGAGCCAGGAAGATGTCTGCCGCCGCCGCGGATCCGCACAGGGTCTTCAGTTCCTCCACCGCCTGCGAGAGGCAAGTTGAGCAATCGGACGGGCTCAGATCGCCTAAACATTGGGCGAAACCCTCGACCAGTCCCGAGCTGCTGACCCGAAACCCTAGCGCCACTTTCAATTCGGCGAGGACGTCGTCTCTGCGCCGGAAGAACTCCTGATCACTCTCGGCGCTCTTGCTACACTTCTGGTACCTCAAGCTCGTGTCGAGCTTCCCCAAGAAATCAATATGCTCGTATCTCACGTAGCAGCCGTCAAGCTGAAGGGAAGCCCCGTACGAGTAGGGGCACACCAAGCTCATCTGGCTCACGGCGCTTTGGATGCATTTCGAGCAGTCGGCAAGCTTCAGATCGCCCCGGCACTGATATAGCCCATAGATCGAGGCCTCGGGCGGGGCCGAGGTGCCGTTCCCGATGGCAAAGCTGTTGTAAGCTGCTTGCGAGGACGAGCTCACCACGGACGTGAGGACTGAGTTGAGGTTCGACTCGAAGAGAGTGCTTGCCTGGTACTTCTCCTGGGAGCAACCCGAGTATATGTAGGTGCTGGGCTTCACTGGGTGGACGTGATTGAGGAAGAAAGCGAAGAGGAGGAAGAGAGAAGAGGGATGGAGAGCTAAGAGGGTGTTGCGAGAGGAGTGTTGCTGAAGGATTCTCGCCATTATTTTGTGTTTTTCTCTTTCCTACTTGTAGTTGTGTGCAGTGATGATGGCGGTGGTCTTTCCGTTGGTTTCTTTAGGTTTTGTTTTATGCTTGGGTTGGGGTGGGGAGGGAGGGAGGGAGGGAGGGAGAGGAGGAGTTGCTTTTTGGTCTTTCTTGAAATTTCTCGTGGAAAGCAATTTAAGAAAAAAGGGTTCATTTTGGGCACCTTAATCACTGATCTATAAGCAGACTTTTTTTTTTAATTTTGCGCACAAAAATATCGACTTTTTGCCATACCGGTAAATTTCAATGAGTGCTGGTAAGTTGCAAAAATTGTGGGTAAAAAAAAATGACCCATGACTTTTTTTTCTAGAGAACTTGTTAGTAACTTACTAAAACTTTTATTAAATTATCACCTTTTTTCATAGTTTGCAAATTAGTGATTTTCAAATCGACTTACCAATTTTTTATTTGCATAACTTGCTAAGGTATCGAGTGTAATAGATCTCATATGAATTACCAACCTATATCAAAGTGACTTACCAAGTTTTGTCAAATCAAATTACCAACTAATTTGAGTTGCCAATTCTCATTTGAATTACTCATAACTGTTATTGTTTTTTTTTTAAATTTATCAACGTTGAATTACCAACTTTTATTTGCCTTAGTTAGCAACGTCTTACACTTCATTAGAAAGAAACTTGACGAATATAGATTTTGATACTGACCGAAAGTTTCTGCTTTTTTATGAGACTAAAAATAATTTGGTCAGAAGTAGGACTCGACCCGAAGGTGAAGTTTTTAAAGGGAATTAGGCCTATTTAGATTAAGTTCATACATGACTTGAAAAAGATGTGACAAATAAGTGTCCACTCACGGGCATAGACAAAACTTTACTATCGAGTCGAAAGGTTAGCCGAAAATATTTTTTATAATTGATAAATTGAGAACAAATTAGAGAATCGGTATTAACCAAACTCTTCATATTGTATAGCATAACTTCTTTTCCCTGGTCATATTGAATGATGTGGTGCATCTCAAACTATACTTTTTGGATCTCGCACCCAAACCAGATAAAAAAATCATTTTATTTCCGCTCTTATACGATTCCTAGCGCAAATTCCAATACCGGTTCGAGTTTTGTTGGGAGTTCTCCGGGAGTGAAATCCCAAATGCATTGAGCCTATGTCGGTTAGTGCATCCTTAAGATTACTTGGGATGATGGACTAGCTGAGGTGTGCAAAAGCTGACCCGGACATCTCCTGATATGAGGCATCAATTTTAAAGAAAAAAATTAATTGAGGAGTTTTATGAGCGACGATGACTCGTTTTAATGAAAGACTAGGATTAGGGGTGTGCAAAAGAACCGGGACCCGCCACGACCGCCGAACCGATAATATAATAATAATATATTTTATTTTTTTAATTTTTAATTAAAAAATCTGACTAAAAAATTAAAAAAAAGAAGAAAATTTATTATCATGTCTGAAGCTCTTCTGTAGTTGGGATACCTTAGTCAATTTTCTCAATAATTAATGGGTACCCACTTGATTTATGGATGATGTGGTTAATATAATCGATCATAACGTAGGAATTGTATGAAAAGTTATGTTATTTTCCTTTTGTTCTGTTGGTCCACAGATTTTTTTTTATTTATCTAGGAAAACTTGTTGAGACCGATTCCATGGACCCGCCCAAGAACCGGACCGGACCGGACCGGCGGTCCGGTTCTCGGGCGGGTCCATGGAACCGACGGGCGGTTCTCGGTTCCAATTTTTGGCCGGTCTCATGTGGGCGGTCCACGGTTCGGGTGGGAACTGCCACCGGACCATGCACACCCCTAACTAGGATGAGCCCGCACATTGCTGCGAAAGGATTAATTTTTTAATACGAATCCGACCCATAAAAAAATATGATTTCAAATTAAATTTAGAAAAGTCACCTTATTATTATCTTAATTTAGCATTTATTTGAGAATTTATATAAAACTTGTATTTTCTATATGACATGTTGTTAGATAAAATTGTCCAAAAAGTTTCAAACCTATTGCACTTTTGTCAATCCAAACCTAAGCCTTCCAATGTTGCCAATTGTGTCCTACACCTTTTCATATTTTGTTAATTAAGTCTATCCGGCCAATTTTTGCCAGAATTTGTTGAGTACACACCGGCATCCTACATGACACGAGCGGGATGACATGGATAATTTTTAACAATATTTTATTTTCGAATTTTTTTTAATTTTCTTTATTTTCTTTGCTTTTTGTTCTGTGTTTTCTTTCTCTGCCGGTGAGGGTCACCGGCGACCCTTGCCAGAAAGGCCATCGCGGTCCCGCTAGCTACCAACGAGGTTGCGATGGTCTTGGGTGAGGGCCTTTGTGACCGCACCGACTAGGGAGGGGGGGGGGGTTGTAGTCGAGGCAATTCTCCCCCACGGCCGGCGAGGCCATGATGGCCTTGGACGAGGGCTTCGCGGCCTTGCCGACCACAGGCAAGGGCTTCACGTTTGTGTCCCGACCAATTCTATCTTCTTTCACAAGATTACTTTGATTTAGCCTGATCATTAGTCATGAAAGATGACAAAAAGAAATCCACTTAAAATCTCAAACTATACCAACTGCGACACATTTAGCCCAAGTTAAGATATTGATAGGCTACCAAGGGGCTTTCTCCTTTGTCTTTGACACAACAAAATTTTCAAACGTGATTTTGATTTATGGAGATTAGTTTCATTCCAATAGTTGAGATATGTCTACGGGTAAAAGATCTCCATCCATAAGAATTCATTTGCAAGAAACAAAGCATACAAGGAGGAAAAAGAAAAAGATGACTCAGATTACCATGGAAATTCATAGACCGTGAATCAATTTATTGGCTAATACGCACTTCATCACATCCTTTATGCTCTCCCTGTCAAAATAGTCAAAATACCAAGTACTATGGCAGACAAATGTTCAACGTCAGCATTACGCTTTGTCAAAGGTGGAACCATGCCTCCCTTCCTCGTATATTGTTTGTCGCACACATCTGCATTAGCTTTCATTGCAGACACCCAAGTATTCACGTCGGCATAACGCTTCGCCTTGTAAAATGGGGTTAGGTCTTTGTCTTCAACGGAGGCATAAAGATCCAAGCAAAGCGAGAGAGCTTTGAGTAGCCGTGGTTCCAGTTTTTGCTTCACTAGTTGCTTAATGTACTCGGCCGTGACTGTAAAGTTGGCTTGAAATAGTTTGAGCCCAATCAGCCCTAGTCTCTCGAGATTCGCCTCATGGCTCTCCGGGTCTGACCCAAGAGACTTCACGCAGAAGTCGAAGTTCAACTCTGTGTTATTGGCTACAAGCTTCTTGCAGGTGTCCTCAATGATATCGTTTGTGGATTGGACACAATGAAAGATCGCGAGGAAAAGGATCAGGAATAGGGAAGAGATTGAGAATGTACGATTCATTTTTCTTATCACGGAGATGGAGATTTTCACGTAATTTTCCTATGAAGACAGCATATTTATATTGAAATGACTGGTCATGTCATATATCGACACGATTTCATATATGGTATCTTGTCAAACCAAATTTATTATTAGATAGTAGATAAGGATAAATATCTTTTAATAAGTAGCTTAGTTAGGCAATCTTATTAGAGTTTGATAAGATTGCCCAATGGACCTGCCTGCAGCAATAATTATCAGAAGTCCAAATCATGTTTTAATGACTGTTGAATTCTTCAATAAGATTGCCAAATCAACCTACTGGCGGCCATAATTACCAGAAATCCAAATCATGTCCTACTTAAAGGCGGATTCTCCTATAAGATTTTCAAATCGACCTGCCTTTTCAAGAATGCTAATCCTTATACACTGTCTAAAAAAAAACTATATATATAAGCATATATTCTTCTGGATTACCATCAAGTACGCAATTATCGACCATAAAAAATAAAGTACGCAATTATAACTGCTTAAGGCTATCAAGAGACTGTTGAGCAATCAGTTAGTATTCAAAGTGCAACATAACTTTCCGGAAGGAAATCATATTGCTGATTGGCTTGTTAATCTTGTATTAATAAGCTCTTAAACACTAGATTCTTTTCATTGTCTCATAGAGAGTTATTTCATGTTTCATTACGAAATAAAATAGGAATGATAAATTCACGACGTTAAAATTTTTGTGATCAATATTAGCCCTTTTCATACAAAGAAAAGCTAGATTCACGTTTATTCTTACGCAGGAACTTCCATTTCTGGTCTATTGGTGGGAGGTTTATCTACCAGTCTAATAGTCTATCAGTAAATCTGCTGGCAAAATTCCAAAAGTATGTCAAAGTGAGCAACTTTTGGATTTAGAACCTTGGTATTCATCTATACATAAAATTCTTGCAATTTTTCGTGGATCACCGAGAGTGAATGTAAGCCTAGAGGTGCTTGAGGCACCTAAATTAGGTTGCACCGGCTATTGATCATCTCTTCCTGGCAGATCTTCATCCTATTTCCGCATCATAAACTGATTGGTAGAACAATTACTTTTTCCGAATCTGAGGGAATGGAAAGATAAGGAGATTTTGAACCCTTTGTGTTAGACGGAAGAATTCTATCTAGTTCTTCTTAGGTTGCAACAGCAGTAATTTTCGTTAAAGTTTGCTTGTGATGGTCTCTCAAGAAGGACTCAATAGGATTCACAATCATATAGGAAGACTGAGATTCAGGCTGTTTTTTGAGAGGAGGAACAGACTAAGATTCAGGCTGTCTTTCGGATTTTCCTCTTTTCGTTTCTGCAAGAACTCTATCCCGGGTAGCCAGAATATCATACTTCTAAGTTCCTAGAGTTTGGGCTGTGAGATTTGAAAAGACATGAGGAAGTTGAAGGTTGGAAGATTTTTTACTTTTCCCAAGAGAGAACAAACAGTGGATCAAAGGAAGAGGGCTTTGGAGAATACATGTTCTTCTAGAGTTCTTTAATCTGTCTCTTCAATATCTCGATTTCAGCTGTATGGTCATCAAGATAGTGCGTGGGAGGCAATACTCTTGATTCTATTTTCTGAAGTCTATCTTGATAAAGTTGTGTTGCAACCCTCCCACAACACATTCGACAACAAGGTCGGGGATATTTTGAGGGGTTTACAGGATTACCCATAAGACGATCCAAATGGTTCATCAATTATGAGCGCGGGCTCTCCCAAGTTCTTACCTTGTGTGACATATGAACATTCATTTTCAATTCATTAAAGCCTATCGAATTCTAGAAGTCATCACTAGCCATTTTAGAGTCGACTAGAAGCCAATTGAGATGTGGGAGTGTCGTCTCAATTTCTACGTAACTAGAGGTTCTAGTTTGGGGACTTGATTACGCTAATATTTACATTAATGCTCTTTCAATATCTCTAACTTGGAAGATTATTATCTAAGTGGTCATGGAATCTTAATTACCAACTATGATCCTAAAGGTATCAAAGCCACTAAGTAATCATGCACATGTTCTTGAAGTGTTTATTATGGTCCTAAACTAGTCATATCTTATTTTAATAAAGAAATTAACATACAAGTTATTGAAATGCGATGCAGTAAACAAACACTTAAAATATTGAAATGGTTTTAAAGTAGAAGCAGGAATGAAAATCCGATAAAAGTCGAGCAAGAATATTACAACTCCTAAATGAAAACCCAATACTAAGCCAAGGAGGTGTCGGCCTAGCTAGTTGCAAGTGAAGTGCAATGATCGGCCATTGGATTATGCCGAGAAGCAGTCGAAGCTAGGGATGTGGAGATTAGTAAGGAGATTAGTAAGGAGAGAGAGTTTTTGAGAAAATGTTGCTAGAGTGAGTAGAGAGAGGGTGCGTCGTGTGTGTTATGAAGCATAATTATAGAGAAAATTGTTTTCACAATGATTTTTCGAGTGAAAATTTTGAAAATTAGATCAAATTGTGGCTCACAATGATCCCTTAATGATTAAGCAAGCTCCCTATTGGTTGAAAATGCATCACATGGATTGATGACATGTCAATCTTAATGGCAAGGATTGAATGGCTAATGTATGGTTGAGATTTAAGCTTCACAAGGATAGGTGACATGGCAAGGGCATTTTGGTAATTTTTCTATGTACTAATTTTGTAGTTATAGCAATGTGAAGAGAGAGGGGGCCGGCTGCCTTGAGGGGCTTCTTTGCTTGGCCCATTGGCCCGAATGGTCGAATTGGGTTTCGCCCAATGGACCGAACCCAATTGGGTCAACTCAAGATCCTCTTAATGTTCAATTTTGCTATAATTTGCTAAATGGGCTTAGTGCATCGGCTAAATGAGTTGGGTGAGCTCAATTGAGGATTTGCCCAATGGGTCGTGTCTCATTCCGTCCAATCGGGTCAGCCCAGTTCAAATCGAGTTGGCTCAGTTCGATCGAATTGACTTGTTGCACTTTGATTTCCTTAAATTATATTTAGGAGCTCGGCCAATTTTGTCTTCCTAGGCCAATTGGGCTTTAGCCCAAATGGATGATACTTGGGGTTGGGTCATTTGGGTTAATCCAGCCCATGCCCGTCGGTCATAATTCATCGTTTCAGTTGAATTACACCAAATTACTATAATTTTGCCAATATTAAATTTCAGTTAATATGACTTAATGGGATGCGAATTAGGCTAATTGCATTGCTCATGAAGAATCGTTTAAGACATTTGATAGGCGCTCGAAAATTGACTAACTCGTGTAAGCTTGAAGTTTCAAAATTAACTCGAAATTCTGATGTAGTACAATCCTCGGATCAAATGTATGTAGCGGTGGTGATGCATCCCGTGCATGAAATATTTCTCTCCAACCATGTACCCTAGTTCCTTGATTCATTCATACACCCAAATGATAAAATATAAAGAAGTTTCCACGTAATTTACGAATTCATTGACTGCATAATATTACACACCGATGAAATAATATAACTACACAAGATTTGGATATTCATTCTCATCAAGTAAGCGCTCATGTTTACTGGTTAACTCCTGCGGTCGGTGTTGAGTAATTAGGTATTTCCAATTCATGAATGCCTAAAGTAAATCTTGTTACAAATAAAGGCCTAAAGTGATCATGTTAATTTCAAATAAGGATTTAACCTTGCCGATTGGCCAAATCTTCCTGCTGGTTAATGGCATTTTCGTCCAAAGATAATGTTTTCTTTCTTTCTTTTCTTCCTGTTCATCTTCTTCGTCTTTGTGGTTTTGTCATAAGCCATCGCAACTCCTCACAGCCTCCTCGGCCGACCACCGACGAGCTCCATTCATAGCCACCAAGGACCCCTAGCGAGCTCCCCTCCACCTCTTCATATACGTTGCTCGCGATCATGGCTCAACGGAGGGGTTGAGATGACGCAGATGATGGAGCCTTAGCCAAAGGCACCCAGAGTTCTAAATCTCTGGAGCCTTGGCCATGAGCGACAACGGAGGGGTTCCGATGACACCGATGATGGAGCCTTGGCCGCGAGCGCCTAGATTTCCAGATCTTGATTTGGAGCTCAATACGACATTCCACAGGAATCCTTCTTGCTGCCCGGCTACCTCCACCTCGTATTGCTGCAACAATCGGCTGGAACAGCAAAGAGAAGACAAACCCATATATGCTCCCAGCAAGTGCATACCAAAACCCCAGGTGCCCACTACCTTAAATTTTTGTCGTTTTTTTCTTGTGATGCCTTAAGTTGTTGCTGATGAAGATGGATATTGAGTAGTGGTGCTTTTTCCTTCTTGCCTTTGTGATGAGCTTTTTCTTTTGAATAATATTCTACTTTTTTGGTCATTGAAGTTCTAGTTGATATCGGTACTTTTCAAGAAGCAGACGTATTGCTTCGTGTGCTTATAGAAGTACAGTTCCAGATCTGGGTATAGCCTGTCCGCGTGCGACGTGCTTGTGGATGGTGCAGTCGCGAGCTGCTACGGCGACGAATGGAGTAGCTCGGCCATGGACGCACAACAGTGGTCGGCTTGGCTTTGGATGGAGGAGAGTTCTGTTTTTTTGCTTTTTTAAATGCGCTCGCCAAGTGGAGTGGTCAGATTTGATGTCGGTATGTGCGACGAGGAGCGCTTGCATGTTCGCCACCAGTATCGCTGCAATACTCGGGCTGGTTGTTCTTGCATACGGCTTTGGTCACTAAGGCCACTCTTCCCTGTTCATCTTGCCGAACGAAGCAGAAGATGAACAAGGAAGAAGAGAGAGAAATAAAAAAGAAATGTCTTTAGACAAAAATGCCCTCTAAAGACATGCACCGTAATATTAAGATTAAATATTCCGGCAAGATGATTAAGATTAAATGTCTGCAAAATGATTAAGATTAAATGTCTTTAGAGTGTCCTCATTTTATCTTGACACTAAATGTATGCTATGATTAAGATTTAGAGAGCTTCCTATAAGGGTGAGACATGCACCGTAAATACTCTAAAATTAAATAGTCTACATCTTATTAATTAAAAGGGATGATTCCTAACACAAGATTGGGAGTATGCCCG